AGTTTTATTTTGTTATTTGTGTAGATTTTTAAGAAGACACATTTAAGTTATGATTTACTTATAAATTATAACACTATTCTAATTTTGTGATGTTAATCCTACTTTATTAATATAAGATAAAATTAGATTAAGTCTTATATTATGTTTAAAAAAAAACCCAATGAACTTACTTTCTATATTTATTGTTAAGAAAAAAATATAGTTTTAAAACATTACAAGCATAAACTATTAATTGTAGCATTTAATTAATTTGAAGAAGTGTTTATAGTTTGACTGTTGTAATTCAAATAATGATTATATTTTATAACTGGATGAAATATATAAATACTAATGTTTATATCCTACTCCTACTCCTACTYCTATTTGTTATCATAATCAAATAATATGTGACGTAACTATGTAAGTGAACAATGCAGAAAAAAACTAATAATGAGTACATAATATTTAAGCTAGTAATAATTAATAGAAATATTTATAGATACATTTTAATCGTAAAAAGGGGTTTTGGGAATATGGCTCCTATATTTAGGAATATTGCCAAATTATTAGTTTTTTTTTTAAGTGGTAAAAATATGTTACTAAAATAGCTTAATTTCATCTCAAATTTTAAATTGTTATTTATACTTACTTTAATTAATATAGTAGTAAAATCCCCATAATTTCTATAAACCAGATTAATGCTAATTGTGGTATATAACTTGTGGCTATTTTTTTCTCTAGTACAATACTAATTTCTATAGAAATTTGATTGAACGTAGAATGTAATGGTACAATTTTCATATAAGGTTTTCGTATTTTCACTGAATTTATAGCATTTCAATTATTTTTTATAAATTATTGTAGCATAGTCCCATGTCAACATTTTTTTCTATGATACAAAATTATTTTTCAGAATTTTTATGTCACATATTTGTACATCAACTATTTTAAATTTCAAATAATGAAAAAATCTAATAACTCTTTACTTATTATACTCGACTTAAAATATTATTGAAATAATTCAACAAATTTTAGATTCTGAGTGAGATAACTAATAAGGTAACCGGAGTACAGCATCACAGTAATAATTATATGAATAAAAATGCTAGAAGTTAAAACTTAAAAATTATACATAACATTTTTAAAATATATCTTAAATTGAAATTCTTTTTGTAAATTTTTTTGACAAAGTTGTGTGTATATATGTTATTGTATCTAATRAAATAAAAATTAAGCTATTTTAATAAATTTTATTATAAATTAACTAATTTTGGGTTTTTATATCAAAAACTTAAATCTACTAGATTGATTATAATTATCAACATAACTGAAAAAAAAAAAAAAACTAATAACTCTTAATTAATGCCAATATGATTATTTCTCAACTTTTCATTCTTGTGACCTTAATATAAATGATAAACATACAGATTATATGATGTGTTATTCAATTTGTGATATATATTTGCACAGATTCAAGATTATAAATACATATACGCATAAAAAAWATATATATATACATAATATATATTAATTGTCCTAATCAGTTACATTTATTAAAGCCAATTCGATGAAAATAGGCCCAACTAGATCCCTATAAAACGTGGAGTAAGTTCTAAAATTGCATTATCTTACAAGTTACAAATCTACAATTGTCAATACTTGAACATCTTTGTATTAATATATTAATATTTGACTGATAAAACTACTCATGGGAAGTTTATCAGCAATATACAGTCCACCATAGCGTACATTTATAAAATGCTTTTTAGATGTGACCTATTGGCTAAAAATAGCTTTTAAATCAAAAGCAATTCATTTCTCCATAATCTGTCTATTAATGCTAATCATCTATCAATTATATTAATATATAATAGGAAGATTATAAAAAATTAATATTATGAGTAATGACTTAAGCCATATTTATAACCAAAAGATAAAATTTGAATTTGGGAAGTGCTAAAGATTCTTTTCAATCATCCCCCTCCTAGGTGCAGCAAGGGGGATGAAATATAATAATAAAATAAAATAATATATATTATATTATAAAWTAGAATCATTAGAATTTTATTACAGCTATACAAAATATAATGAAAAATTGCCTACAGCCCAGATCTTATAAATCAACCTTTAATTTACTCAATAAAATTAACTGTTGTATAAACATCAAATTTCCAATACCAATTTTACACTGATAAGTCTATACATATTTATTTTTAAATTATAACAGAAAACATAATGTATTATATCTTAAAAACTAGTGTTGTGTATAATATTCCAGTTTTCTCAGTAAAAAACAAAAATATTTAAATATTTGTATAATTATTATCAAATTAAATGTTTAGTTTTATTTGAAAGCAATAGTATTATAATGATTTAAAAAAAAAATTAAAAACAATGTGTTAGCACAAGTAATTTTTCTTTTATCAATGGTACCATCATTAGTAATAATTTATTAATTAGAAGACTGCACAAAATATTATYTATTTATTCAAATTTATTTGTTAGTGAAGGAATTGTTGAAATTCATTTAATAATCTTCTTTGTACATATTACATAAAGAAAGGTAATAACCTAACCTTTATCCCACTCTTATAATAATCTGCTTATCTATGTTTTAATTAAAATATACAGCTAGTTGAATTTGTGAAATTATGCATCTACTACTTATTAGCCAAAATAAAATCAAAATGAAACTAAATTCTTTAAAAAAAAAATGCTATACTACTATTATTACATAATTTGACTCTTTTACGATTTTCTACCAGAAAAAAATTGAATATAAATAAAAAACATGAACTGTATAGAAATTAATTCAAAATACCTAAATTAATTGAATACAAAAGCTTTCAAGAAACTTAATAGATCATTATGAACTGTAATTTACTGTCACTTTATTATTAATATTGTTAATTGTATTGTACTATGATAAATATAATATATATATACATATAATATATACATACACATTATATAGTTTATGTTTAAGAAATGTTTATTCTCATAAATTAGATTAGAATTTTTTCTAGGAATTTGATCATTTAAATTATAATTTATGTACCTAATAGTAGGTCCTATTAATTAATTTTTAAACTATCAATAATAATTAGTTTACCATTAATTACGAATGATTAACTACTCACATTACTCGCTTGCGCTGGCTTAGCTGCTTGGACTTTAATATGGTTATCATTAATGCTGAAGTCCCCATTGATCTCAGTCTAGATAATATAACAATACAAATGTAAATTACCAATTAGTGGCCAATAATTTATATGCATTCGCATCAATGTAATGTGATGMCATAATAAATGCATACCATATTGAAACAATACTCACAGTCATATTGATAGTCATAAATTGTTTGAATAAATTTTGTAATATTCAATTATTTATTACTGATGTTTTTCTATTCTACCAACGATTTTCAACATTTTCGAAGTTGAAGATCTTATTCCGGACATCATTAAAGTACCAGCATATCACACGATCAAAAAGATTACCGAGGACTACTGACAGAACAAAAAATAAATATTACTCAATTTACTTAACAATGGTCAACAGCAAACACAATACTACAATAGAGATCAATTTCTTGTCTCATTCCMGTATTATCAAATGGTAAATAGTAATGGTAGGTTGTTGTAGCAATTACAATACGCTGCCAATTCCGTTATCTCAATATATGTATTATTATCTATGCTTGTGAAAGGGCTCAGATATTTTATTATGTGGCTCAGTCAGCTGTTTGGTAAGTTTGGTTCGACTGAGACAAACGATAATATTATTATTATTTTTATTTTTTATGTTTTATGTTTATCAATTTATTATTACTAAAATAATTATGTATAATAATGAGTGTGTACCAATGTATTTATTATTCCGAATTCCGATAATCATTGTTTCGATGTCATAGAATAGTCAATATAGAKCGGAACTTACTATAATTTAATATTGTTCTCCTCTTCTCCCGGCATTTATTTTTATTGACAAAGTACAGATCATGTATATTGATTGATGACGAAATTCCGAGTTAATAACATTATTCCTCAACATAAGAGTTAACCCACGCACTAAATKATATGATAAAACGCCTCCAAACACAGGAAGCACATTCTTTTGTACAATAACTGTTTTATTTGTTGTTTAGTTTTAAGTAGGTCATCTGAGTCATCAGATCATAAATTTATAATATTTTTTAATATCATGAATGCACTTTCTTATTCCTAGGTGCAAGAATAAATAAAAATATAAAATATAAATATTAAGTGAGGTATAATATATTAATATATAATATATGTATTATTATAGATTACTATTTTAATATAAASTTATTTATGTATCAAATTAAATTAATAGCAAATAAATTATGAAATATTACACATTTATTTCTTATAGTTTTGTATCGTAACCTTAATTTACCAGCCAGAACCTATTGTTGGTTATTGTTTTATAATATTTTAACAATATAATATAATATTTTATTATTTGTATATATTAAGAAACAAACAGCAACTGTAACCTTCGAATTAGAAGTTAGCTGAACGAACTATGAGTAACATTGAATGGCTATTATATACCGATAATTGAATAATGCGTGTAATACACTCATTTATTATTTTCTAGTAAAAGATAGWATATTGCTTAATGTTCCTACAAATCCCATAAATTGTCTATAAAGTCCTCTTAAAGAAATGACAAAAATTAAGGTACTTCTACTTCCTGTGGTTTGATTTCAACACTGTCAAGATGTTTGAATTTATTAACAAGAAATTTACCTCTTATTGGTCGGACCGGTCGAAGACTCGAAGAGCATGATTTAATACTTATTTTAAATTATTAATTAATTATTAATATACCTATACTGGCTATACTTACATTGTATTACTCACTGTTGAAAATGTACATAATAACGATTTTGCAAACGTTTTATATTCTTAAACAATTTGATAAAACAAAAAAATTGCTACAGTCTCCGGTTTCCAACCGATGTCCGATACAAACTAGCTTACCATATTTCAATCAAACGACTATTGAGACTGGATAATTTACAAACATTTTTGTCCGACTATTTGTATACATCATAGCTGAAGTACCTACATTCATAATTTCCTACTTTCATATTTTGATTTACTGCTATAATTGCTACATAAATACATAATACAGCATCATATGTGTAGGCATAATGTGTATGCGTGATGTGTGTCTTCTAAGTGTGTTTAAATATCTTTTGAAACAGAGCAGTGGCGTAGCCGGGGGGGGGGGCTAAGAGGGCTATAGCCCCCCTCATTGACTGTGTTTATTTAAGCCATTGTAGGCTATAGCCAAGAAGGATGCAGTTAAAAGATTGGAGCCTGTAGGCATAATAAATAAATAAAAATGTTTATACATGTATACAATTTAAAAAAAAAAACGTAAATAAAAGAAATATATTATTTATATTTTTTGAATTTTTTTGTGAGACTTAGCCCCCCCACCCTTACAAATTTTCTGGCTATGCCACTGAAACAGAGTATATTGAGTTTTGAGTAGTGAGTATATACTACACTCAGTACACCTACACCATAGATAGGATATTAATGATATTATATCCTAACCATGATTATAGACTAGTATATATATAAATATATATTATAGTGTCTGCCTAAACAGTAGGCTGAGTTTTAATTTATGCCTGCAGTAGAGCGTTGACCGTAATATATTATTATTTATTATATGACTTTTTGTTAGAAAACATTTTTTTTTCCTTAAGTAGGTATTTTTATAACATGTGGTAGAATAGGCCATTGGGTAATAGGAGTGGGTGACGTGGATGGTACGGTAGGGATTATTTTTGTTGGTAGGTTTTGAGTAGGTAGGGTTTTCTAGCCTTCTAGGCACTTGTGTAAATCTAATAATAGTATTTATCAGGTATCTGTACTTTTCTATTTACTTATACCTTAAATACAAATCGGGAAAGTTACTCTGCTATATAGCTAATTATAGGTATTATAGGTGTCGACTGTARATGCCTCTATTTAACGTGAAATTGAAATTAACATAAGTAAATAAATGCACGTAATTTTGTGAATTGAATTACACGTAAATCCGTGAATTTAATATTGAATCACGCTTTTATGATTATACATTTGAAATTTTATTTTTAATACCTATCTATAAATAATAATTATATAATATAAAAACACTTAATCATGTGAATCTTAATATTATAACGTTCAAATTCGACTATATAAAGTAGGTATAGGATAGAATATATCGAATAGGTATTAAAAAGGATATGTAGATATATTTTAGTTCAATAACAAATTGATAAATCGTATTTCAGATCAAGATATTAGGTATCTTAATCTGATATACGGATAAAAAACGATTCTGCAGTCAGACTTTATTAATTCGCCAGCAACATAGAAATAAACGAAAAAGCAGATTACCTAGCAAAAGAAGCAGCCGACAATAATGTGATGACAAAAATAAGCGAAATACTCTGCACCTATGAAGACACGCTAAGATGTATTAATTCTGCAATTAAAGAAAAATGGTCATTCAAATGGAGAAGAAAAGTAACTAAACTCGGCGAAATAAAGCGTACAGCAGTACGTTGGAAAAACATTGCGAATCTTAATAGAAAAGACGATATAAAGACCTAATCACTATACACACACGGCTACCCAATGAACCGAGAAGAACAAACAGAATGCGCATCATATGTGGAGTCCCCCTAACAATCAAACACATTTTTGTCGAATGCTAATGCAGACAAACTGAAGCCGCCAGAAATAAGCATAACATCCCAGAAAATCTATATACGAATCACTAGACCCGAACATAGAAACCATCACAAATATTCTAAGCTTCATCAAAGATATACAAATCGAAAATTTATTGTGAAAAATTAACCATAATAATATAATATGTAATGTACTAACAAAATCATTGTAATAAGTATTATTACTAATAACTAATCTTATATCATTGTTAATTGTCAAACGTCAGCCAAGCTTCGCTGCTGAGGCTTATTCTAATAAAAAAAAAAATATATATATATATATATTAATTCGCAATTTTTAATTTTATTAATTTCAGTAATTAAAACTTATGAAAAAACTATTGGTATTGTATTACATTTTAATGTTTATTGACATACATTTTAGCGATATATTTTGATTTTTACTTTATAATGTTTTAATAAAGTTTTGATAATATGTCATTATTTAAATAACAGCTAGGCATTCATAAATACATTAATAATATAAATAAATACATATTATGTATTTACATACATAAATATTGTACAATAAATATGATTTGATGTTTACAACAAATTTAATATAGATAGGTATTAGTTCGATAAATATATTATGCAATACATATATATTATTATAATGCCTGGTAAATATTCCATTATTTGTTAACTGCATTTTATTTTTTATTTTTTTAATCACGAGAATATTATTGCTATATTAATTGTGCAGCTTAAAATTATTGATTGCAGACGTGTGCAATGCAAGACATAATACATTGTGTTTGTGTAACTACTTATTATATTTTACACTATAAAAGTGGCGCAAGAATTTTCCAAGGAGGGTTTGGGGTTGTGACCTCTCCCTCAAAATGTTTTTAGAAGTCAAATTTCAAAGTTAAGACATTTTTTATTAATTTATTTTTTTATATGTATAAGGTACAACCCATTCTGAAAATAGATCCTAGTTGCACTACAGTGTAGTCGGCCGCCGACACCACTGTGCTATAATACACTTATTCATTAATGATGATGTTAATTTTTGGGAAATTGTAAAGGATAGGTATACATTAAAAATAATTAGGTATTATACTATTATAGTTATGATAAGCAACAGCAAGGCCTTTAGGTTCATGTACTATATCTCTATAATAATTTATACCTACCTATAGAGCTGTAATAAACAAAAAGAAATAAAAAAATACTAATCAAAAGCTTTAAATCGGTAATCGGTATATCGACGGACGACGGTATCCTACCGTTAATCGCCGCTGCGTGTGTGGATCTCAATAGGTATAATATAAACTTCGGTTAGGTTACACTATACACTATACACATTTCCTCAGTTTTCTATTGCATTATTGGAAATCTTGGTTATAATATTTATAAACTATAATATCCACAATTGTTTTCCTCCTTTTTTTTTTGTTTTTATTATATAAATATTAAGAAACCATACTGTTATTGTAACCCCTTACAAAAAAAAAAATGCTGTTAAAATCTTAAACCTTGCAAACATAACATAACTGTAACTAATGGCCATGTAGCTGCTGAGTTTTTATTTGGTCAATAAAAAAAAAAAAAAACTATAATTTATTAATATATTATTATATACAGTGAAACTTCCATGCGAAGAAGTCACATGGGAACAAATAAAAATCGTAAAATATAGACATTCGTTAAATGCTTGAATAGAAATCCGTATTTATAACAATAAAAATAAGGACATGGTTCTCATTGTTCTGAACAATAATTCGTAAAATAGAAAGTTTCGTTAGGTATATAATCTGGTTACTAGGATACTGGAAGTTTCAATGTAATGTAAAATACTAAAATGTTGTATTATTATTTGTTATTGAATTATGTTTATACAGTAGTGACATCTAGTGACTGTTTAGCATACTACAATTATTTCGTTTCTAACTTCAGATATTACCTTAAAATCGTGACCGTAACATATCGTACATCTGTACGAATGGTAATGGTTACACTTTGGTTATGTTATTTAGTCTTTTTTTTTTGTTGTTGCTATATTACGCTTATGCCTTATGGTAATAATATGGTCGTTTGCTGAGCGCCTTGAACAGAACACCGACTTGGAAATTGAATATTTGCGTTCTCAGTGGTCTCACAGTATTTAAGTTTTCATCCATTTCAATCCGCCGAGTACCGTTTATTAACTTCACCATGGTTGCGTTTTCGGGATCCGGCGATTCCAAACAGGCGACAAATGCCTATAAAGACAAGAGCAAACCAGCTGAAATCAGAAAAAGCAACATCTCAGCTGCTAAAGGTTTGGCCGTCAAATCTTTTATTTTGAAATCCCTATTAAGTTTTTCTGAAGACACAAACCAATATTCAATATTGTATACGGATTTTTAACACTTGTTATAGTTTGTCAATCAGCGGTATTTTACAAGTATAAAAATCGAATAGTGCATTTTTACCGACCCACAATTCGGTTTGCTGTTATTTTAGTTTAGAAATTTATTATTTAAATTGAGTTGATTTTGATTCGTCAATGTAGCTGGAACAAAAATAGTTATTTTATTGTTTTTAAAACTTCCTATATGGCTGGATTCATTATGAAATCTGAATGAACATACCAGCGATTTAAGCAATATAATGTAATTTTAATTTACCCAGATTATAACAGGCACCAAAAATTTGCCTAGTCCTCTATCTCAATCAAACATATTTTTTATGTATTTTACATTGAATTTTATTGGAAATGTTCCTAGGTACCTAAATTTTTAACAAAAATACACGATTTCTCTTATTTATGTAGTATTCAGAATTTATCTTCAGCTATATTAACTTATAGTTTAAGTGAAAAATCTATTATGCTTCTCAAAAGACTGAATAACTATTTAGGGTTTATAATGTAAACAAAAAATTAAATATCTCTGCATTATTAAGTATAGACAACAAGATATAGTCAAAGAAATGTGGCAAGAACCTATAATGTTATTTTCTAAGAACATTTTTTTTTTTTTATGTTTTTATCAGAATCTTTGGCAAACTTGAACATCGATTGATACAATAGTTTTATTCATTTGATCTCGTTTTAGATGATAAGTAAAATTATTGTAGTGTAGGTAACTAAATAGGTATTATAATAATTTATTAACTTAAAATTGGTATATAATATAATTTAAGTAAGTATTTATGAAATATTTATTTTTTTCCATTTGTTTTTATATTAGCTTGTTTTATATTTGAATATTATTATAATTTTAACAATGTATTTACATATATTATGTAAACTGTATATTACATCCTATATGATGTATGCATTATCGGATAATTAATTGCAAAGTTTATGGGAGAACTCAATAAAAATGAAATCTTGAAACACAGATAGAATCCACATTTTTCTTTAATTCAGTTCTGTCCATTTATCTTTAAATGCTGTAACTTAAATGATAATACGTTTAGGAAGGAGGTTGAACCCCTAATTCCCCTAATTCCTCAACCCACATACACAACATACTTATTGTTAACTAATGGTAATTACTTTTTTTTACTTCTAGCTGTTGCTGATGCTATCCGTACAAGTTTAGGTCCAAAGGGAATGGATAAAATGGTAAATATGTATTAACTTATATTTACTTAGGTAATTAGGTAATAATAATTTATTTTATATACTCAGGTATGCTTATAATTTATATACCTAAAGCCACAATCACACGATGATAGAAAAATGCAATAGTTACTGTCATGAAAGTACTATCATGCATGTATAACAATGTGAGAATGAATAAGTTGATAGTGTGATAGTAATTATTAAAATCTCCAATCCATGATACTCCTGGTAGTTAAATCTATCAATCAAAATTCATACCTATGGGCTATGGCATATGACATATTACTTATCCTGTTAAACTGTATAAGTTAACTTTCATTTTTTTTTTTTTTTTAAGTAAAATATTAATTTTAACCAACTATTGTAATTTATATTTTACACATGTTCATTTGCTTAAAAATTAAAATAATCTAGGAAATTAATTATTGACTAATTATTGTAAATACAATTTATCAGAACTAYAACTTAATTATTATAAATAGATACCTATCATTTTTACATATCTCTTTAAATTATTATATCTTTATTTTTATAATATTATTTTATTTTTAGATCCAATCGGCAAATGGTGAAGTAGCTATTACAAATGACGGTGCTACAATTTTGAAACAAATGAATGTTATACACCCAGCAGCAAAAATGGTACCTAATTAAGTTTATTTGTATCAATATATTTTTAACAATTTTTTAATTGTTTGAACCATAGTTCTTATTTGTAGGCCATTTAATACTCTTTAAAATATTTATTTTTTTACACTTCTATGGAATTAATCATTTGAGAACAAATACTGAAATTAAATGGTAAATCATAATAATAAATTATTACTTAATTTTTTCTTTGGTTAATTTAGTTAAGTTAAGGTTGATAAATTTTAGTAGTTCTACCTACATAAATCCTAATGGTCTTTCAATATATTACTATAAATTGTTCTATAGTTATAAACTTTTATTCAATTGACATTTGAATTTAGAAAACATCAATAATTTAAATTTGAACACTCAATTTAATTATTGTTTTAAAGAACAACAAAAAGTAATAAATTATATATTTTTGGAAAATATGTCGAACACATTATTAATTTCTGATGTTTATCATATAGGTATTAATGAATTCCTGTCAATCTTTAAGATTTTATAATTCATATCTTTAAAGTTAAAAAAATATGAAATATTATTATGTCTWCATTATAGTATTTTTAATTACATTTTTTATTTTAGTTAGTTGAATTATCAAATGCTCAAGATGTTGAAGCAGGAGATGGTACAACTAGTGTGGTTGTTATTGCTGGCGCCCTATTAGAAGCTTCTGAAAAACTTTTGCAAAAAGGCATCCATCCTACTGGAATTTCAGATGGATTCCAAAAAGCTGCAGCCAAATCTATTGAGATTATAAAAAATATGGCTACTCCAATACTACTAACTGATCGGGAAAGTTTAGTTAAAAGTGCTTCAACTGCTTTAAATTCTAAGGTGGTTTCACAACAATCGTCATTATTAGCTCCTTTAGCTGTTGATGCAGTTCTGAAAGTTGTTGATCCTGCAAAAGATACCAATGTTGATCTGAAAGTATGAATATTTATAATTTATGGTTAAATAAACTTATTTATAATTTTTTTTTCTTTTAGGATATTAAAGTTATAAAAAAACTCGGAGGAACTGTTGAAGATACTAAGTTAATTGATGGTCTAGTGTTCACACAAAAATCTTCAAATGTAAATGGTCCAAGGAAAATCGAGAAAGCTAAAATAGGACTTATTCAATTTTGTATATCACCTCCAAAAACTGATGTAAGTATAATAATATAATCATTATGTCCTATGTAAATATGACAAGATCTGTGAAAAACAACACAGCTTGTATATTCCTCATCAAATGCATTTTTATGCTGCAGAAAACTTGAAAATCATTGATATCTCTATTATTTACTTAAGACACGACATAAAGCATACACTTTATGAACTATAATAAGTGGTATAACAATTATTACGAATACATTATTATATCAACCAAAATAGGATGTTTGTTAGAGCGTATTAAATTTTTTTATTTTTCTTTAATWATTATTATTTTAGTACAGGTAAGTTTCAAATAATAAAATAATATATAAGACACCTTAGAAGCTCATAATGAAATATATCCATGCTGAACTATTGTTCGTTCAGTTGTGCTTMATAACAAATTGTTTAAATAAAACTGAATTTCTTATGTATTTTTAAGTATCATAGGTAATACATTTGAACCCCTCTAATCAACAGATAATTATGCCATGAAAAAATATAACAACTTTTACATCCTGAAAAATTATTAACAAATTTAAATTAACACATCCAAATAAAATCATCATTATACTTATAATAATTATTTATTATTTGAACATAATATCATTATCATTATATATAATAACTATACGCATTTATTCAAAATATAATACTGTAAAATTCATACATACATATTCATAATTGTGTGGTATACAAAACTTCAATGTACAGTATACATAGGTATTAGAATTATTAAATTTCATCTGATGTTACAACCAGAATGAAATAAATTTCATAAATTACAATTTAAGTTACATTGGTTTTAACCAATATTACTATTTAATGACAAATAATCTTTAGGTTACTATTCTAATTACTAATAAATTATTAAAATTTATTAATGATTAATAAAGATTTATTATAATTGAATAATGTTAAAACGATTATGATGAAATTATTGAACTTAGGACACCTCTATGACATCTTCTTAGGTKATGAGTATAAACATTATTCTGAAAGTCTAATGTGAGGATAAAAAATTATGATTTWAATTTTTATGATGACAAAAAGCCTTAGGACACCTAATTACGACTAAAGTCGAATGATTTGTGCTTTTTATCTGAGTATTCAACAATTTTTTTTTGAAAATAAAATATTTTATTAATAGTTTTTACAGATTGTGTTTGTGATGTGTGATGA